TGGAAACTAGCAGCCTCAATCTCCTTTGTACTGAAGAATTCATTTTACTTTAAAATAACTTAAATCACAGCAAAAAAAATGATGTTTTGCTAGAAAATAGTTTACAGGGCAGAACCACTCTCAAGTAAATTTTGCAGCCATGGCACTGGTCGCTCTGCCTATTAGACAAGCTCCAGTCCCAACATCCCCTGTGCTCCACAAGACTTTGTATGCTCGCACACAGCCTGGCGAAGCAAAGGGCTGTTGCGTGCAGCATAAGCCCCCCATGCGGTGACTGGCAATACAGACCCTGTGGGCTTGGGGACTGAGGTCCACAATGGGAAATAAAGTAGAAATACTTATGTTCCTCCAACCAACTTAAACTTTTGACCGATGAAAACAAAGGTGTTCATAATAAAAAGTACGGTGCATTTTTTCTTATAATACTTCTTGTACAAATAATATAACAAATAGAAATACAATTTAGGGAATCACTAGCATTACTGAAGTGATGGCATATTTAACGGGCAAATGAATTTTCCTACTTGGAGTCAATCTTGCACTGTCTGCCTAAGGTGTCCAATGTGGCATCACAACATCTAAAAACGTAAGAGACTAACATGAGTGAAAGAGTTACAGGGCAGCCAGCTGCCATGCAAGCTCTCCCCTGCAGTCACTGGAGAGGGGAGAATGCAGCAAAGCAGAAGGCGGCTCACCTACATTGGTACCTCCCGGACCTGGGCTAGAAAAGAGTCGTCTGAACAGCTAAACCACAAAAAGTGAGAAAGCAGTAACCTCTGGGGACAGGCAGGGGCAAAGGTCTTCAGGGTGGGGAGGAAGAGGCAGGCAATATCCTCTTCAGCAGGAGCAGAAATGGCTCATTTCACTGTGCCCTGATTACCATTAAAAGCTCCAGAGCAGCTCTATCATGAAAACCCTGACTACAACATCAACATTATTCACCAGAGGCCTAGAAAACAGTTAGCATCACATTCTAGAAAATATACAGCCTATTTCTGAAGAAACATAACAAACAAGGCAATAATGGACGTTAACATATCAAGAATGATTGTTAAGAAATGAGAAAATATGAAGATGTTTAACTTTCTCAACATCATAGAAGAGTACACATAAAAAAATTGCTGCACATAAATAACAATGTTTGCACTTTAAAAGCAAAAGTGGATCACATGTCGTTTATTTGTTGGGTTATGAGAATATTTTTATAGCAAAAGTATTAGGCTACTTTAAAAGTCATGGTACTTCTCATCTATAATAAAATCTGAAATCTTAATTAGAGTCATATACTGTTTTGCCTAACAGATATTTATGACCCGCATGAATAATTAATACAATTTAATAATTAATACAATGCATTAATAATTCTTAATATTTAAGGCCAGGTTCTCACCTGGTATAAAGTTAGCGTTGTTCCACTGCATATGTTATGCTCATAAAATACCAGAAACAAGCATATGATCTTATTCTTTCAAGTTGAAGCTACTTAAGATGCAGTTACGATTCCATGAATATTTGGCAGTTTTGCATTTGCATATATGTACAGTGCTGATGATCCTTTACCATGTTAGTAAAACATTCTATATTTATAGACTATTTTATTAAAATATTCTATAGTTTAAACACAAAACTCCCAGTTCTGAGCTTGCTATCCAGTAGGACAGACTGCTACAAAAAGGAACATTATCTTGTTTTTAAGTACAAGCACACACGTACTCACAAAGGGGTGCTATGCAACTTACCATGATGTCAGAGTTGCCTGATTCATGAGTCTTAGAATAATGAAATAAGAACTGTTCAAAAAAATTAAAAGCGGGGTTTTACTACAAGACAGGCCAAGGAGGATATGATTTTCTTGACAATTTTAGGGTGACCATAAAACATACATAGAAATCTTACCCTTTTGGTGTTGTCTTTTTCATCTAAACCCTGTGGGAATAATAATTGGTAGAGAGGCTTTTATTTTATATAAAAAAAAAAAAGCAATGGGCAGTTTTAATTACATTATAAACTTTTCAGTACTGGCCTGGAATATTTTCTTTCCTTGGAAAGTACATTATATGTCTTTGCTTATCAAGTGAATACTCTTCTCAGCCCCTGTAGAGGCCACTGATTGCTAGAAGAGTTGATGGGTTTAGTTAGATGCTCCTCTGTATACTCATTATGTTGCCATGATTGTGCCATTCTCTCCTTCCCGCTGTCAAAAGGGATGTATGTAATCTTTTGTCATATCTAGAATATGTGTTTTTATGTTTCACTCTAAACTGAAGCTTCAGTCCTAGCCAAAAAAATAAAAGTGTTGGCTGCAGCAGATTCTCCCAAGTAAATTTGTTTCTTCATAGACAGCTGCATAATTTTTCTCATCTAGAGTAATATAAATATCTGAAACCTTGTATCTGAGATAGAGATTATTCTCCAAACACTGGAATTTCACAGCTGTCTTCAACAAGTGTTAGATTAGGACACGTAGCATTTCAGAGTAAGAATTGATAGTATTACTTCAAACACTGAGTGACACTTCAGATATTGTCTCTTCTGAATTCACTGTAGACACTGGCACACTGAGTGAGCATGCTTCAGAAATACTAAGTAGCTTTTCATGTGCATTACCTGTGGTTTCTGGAGAAATCCCATGGCCAGAAAGCAAAGTTCTTCCAGTGCACTGGATGCCTAATGCAAAGAAAACATGAACTCAGGCACCACACCTCCACTCCTGCTGCATTTAATAAATAATATCAAAAATAAAGTAACCTCTATCTAACATGACTCACCTGAGGATGAGAATCTTTGGACAGGTAGGCAGAACATGCATCATCTATCTGTAAAAGTTCACAGAGTACTCTTTAAGAAATCAGTTTAATGTAATACATACATTTTCAAAAACAGTTCAGTGCAACCAAAGGCATGGCAAGCTTATCCACCATAGGGAATTCATATAGGTACATTCCTAAAATTCAAGAAGAACAACCACTCCTAAATGAATGAACAAATTTACCCTTGCTTAATCTCAACAACCACATACTAATCTGTATCCGTTATTCTGAAATACCACTCATGTCCCTCCTATTTCTAAGCTTCTCAGACTCATAATTTAAATGAAGATTGTAAGCTTCTGAAGCATGGACTCTGAATGTAGATATCTTCTGTGATATCTTTTGGTTATATAAAACTGCAAAGAAAATGGCAATACTAAAGCAAGTGGTTCAATGTTCACAGCCCTCAAATACCATTCTTCTGACTGGGTTCCAGCATCCCTGCAGGTGTATGACACACACCTCTCTTGAGCAATTAAGGCACATCTTATACATCCCGGTCCATTTGTGTGAGTCACCAATCAGCCAGACTCCACAGTTTCCACTGATTTCACTGACAAATGAAAAGCCTTACAAGATCTTGTTTACAGGAGTTGGACCCCAAATCACAAGGCTAATAAGAGATATATTCAGTATATTTCAAAGAATCTGGACTCAGATCAAAAAACGCTGTTGAAAAAGTCACTGCCTTTGGACTGGGATGGAAGTGACACAAATAGAAAAACAAAAACATCCTCCGCCACAGACCAACCCAAGAAACCCCTGCCCGCCCCAGTCATTTCATCAGGATCAGAACAAAGGTCCATTTAGCTCCACATCTTACCTCCAAGAACGGCCAAACGTGCCCCCAGGGAAAAGCATAAGAAGAGATCAGCTATCTAGTAAAACTTGTACTCTCCAACCACTGCCAGTCTGGAGCTCACAAACTTTGAGTCAGAGGTCATTCCTTGGTAATAAAGCTCCATGGACTCCTGTTCTGTGCGTTTGGCCAAAGTGTGAACCCTTGTAAACTTTTAACATCCTCAACATCCCGCAGTAAGGATTTCCTGAGCACTGCATGAAATACCACCTCTTTGTCTTGATCAGTCCTTTCAAAGCTAGCTTCATTCAGTGCTATTGCAGTCTTGTCTTGGAAGAAGTAATGAACGATCCCCCTACCCACCCTCTCTTTACCATTCGTGACCTTGTATAGACCTTAATCATGTCCTCTTTCCATTGTCTCTTTTCCAGGCTGAAAGAATCCCAGACTACAGAATCATTTCTGGTGCAGTTATTAATCAGGAATATTAATCAGGGGAGAAGAAATAGAAAAAAGGACATTCAGATTCATTGAAGTTATTTTACCAGGGCTGAAAGCTCGAAGTATTCTATAGGGAAGCCAAAAAATCTCCAGTACTCCAACTGGAGATGCAAAATTTAATAATAATGAAAAAAAGGCTTAACTTTTCATTATATAATTTTAAAATTGTATCAATAGCAACCTGCATTAGAATACACCAATTTTTTCCATTGAATATTTGATACTGTTAGTTTGGATGCCAAAAAACTTTGACAATCATTATACTGTTCACAGTTTGCATCAAAAATGTTTTTTTTTTCAAATGAAGAGTGGACAACACAATGGGTCCTTTAATTTTATTATAGATAAAAAGCCCTAAAGAGCACTCTTTAGTGAAGAAAACATTAAGTGAAAAAAAGCAATAAAAATAATGCATATTTGAGTACTTTAAGACAAGAGATGATTCATTTCTCTAGGGACAATCTATGAGAAAGCATTAGCAGGGATAGTGAGAAAGCTAATAGCTCACAGGATTCCCCTTTCAAATAATTTTTGTTGGTAACATATCCTCCCCTGTTCTTTTCCCTTGATTTTACATTTGCTCCTCTCTGGGAACATTAGTTCACCTTCACTACTGAGATTTCAGGGTAAGAAAACGTAAACAGAGAAATTAGCGGCAAATAAAATAAATTAAGCTGAAATCATTCTGTAAGCCCAAGTTAAAAGCCTCTTATTTCTTCTTGGTGAAGGTTTATTTGTTTTTTTGTTTGTTTGTTTGTTTGTTTGTCTCTTTTGTTGCTGGAAGTGACTATTAGACAACTACCATAACTCAAGAGCAGGGAAAGGCAGAGACTGCTTTGTGGTCATCACAGTGCAAAGCAGAGGGTCTCTTAGCTAAAACCTGCACATAAAAAGGAAGGACTGAGGAAAAGTCATAGTTTCAGGACTTGGCAACTGTTCTTTTCTTAAGAAAAAAATAAGAATTGGATTTTTTTTTTTTTTAATTTCTATCATCTTTGATGCATGTTCTCATTAATTTTCTCTCCTACTTCAGAAAGGTGGCATGAGGATGAGCGCTTGTGAGCTGTTCGGGGTTGGTTAAATAGAATAAAGGAATGAACTGGTGTGGGAGAACAGTAAAGGAGCACTGTAGTTACCAAGTTCCCATATTTATAAACTCAGAGTCATTCCTGGGAAACTACTAATTTAATTTCAGCTTTAATTTCCTGACCAGAATGATCAACTAATAAAGTAAAAAACAAAAAAAAAGATTCTTTTCATTCAGAGAAAATCTGGTGAACTAGTATTGTTCAGACTGATTTAGAGTGCATCTAATTCTCTTTTCTTAGTTTCTCTCCAGGCATGCATTATTCTAGTTGTAATTAACAACATTTTATACTGATTATGTTACATAATTTCATACAGAATTTAGTATTTTATCCATACTTTTCCATGCACTGAAAAAAGGAGCTTTGCCTTTGCCCCCAGTGGCTGTTGGAGCAAATCTTGTATTACAAAAGCAAATCAAAGAGTAAATGCAAAAATGTGTAAAACAGCATCTTTTAATCCAGAATTTAAATAACTCATTTTCATAAACTCTTCTAGCTATTAGGATCTTACTTCCTGAGACATCACTTTTCTCCCAGGAGATAAACATCATCAGGCCTTGTCCAGGTGCCAGTCTGTGAGTAGGCTGGTCTTGGAGTCAGTAATTCTGAGATGAAAGAAGGGGAGCTGTCAATAAGGGAAGTGTGTCCTGGAAAGGCACCAACAGGAGCAAATTTACTCTGTATATGTGTACCCATTTCTTTCCATGATGAGTTGCTTGCTTTCTCATGTTATCAGAAGCCACAGAACCTCACCACAGTCCTTCAGGATGACAGCAAGGGGAGCATGGCACGTTTCAGGCTAGCCCTCTCTAAATGTTAAGCCCTGCTGCCCCATCTGTTCCAAAAGGGCACAGAAGAATCTGTGTTAACGCACATCAGAACAAATGTGTGTAACTTTAAAAGAGGGGACCGGAAGTCAGAATAGCAGTCAGTATTAAAATGTTAAAGGGACATTATCCCTTACCTAGTAAATTAAGATGCTAGGATATGATTAAATACCCAGCCCTGTGTGCAGAACTGAAGAAGTAAGAGATAAATTGGATGAGCTGAAACAACTACTGTTATCATGTACAAACTATAAAAATACTAAATGGGACACCATTGTTTCCAGGGACAGTGACTGCCTGATGATTGACAGTTAAATAACAATGGTCCTCCAGCACAGCTCTCCATTGAGCCAAGACAGTTTTTTTCCTGAATAACACTTCAACACTCAGCCTCATCATCCTCCTGGAACAACTGTTCCGAAAATCCAGAAAATAAGGCGTTTTACTTCTTCCCTGATATCAAGATAGGAGATGAACAGGAGAGGTAGGACTGGGAGAAGCAGCACCTGAGCTCCATGCGTGAGACGTGTGGGAGAGCGAGGTGTGAGACCAAGGACTGGCACAGAAGAAACAGGAGCATCCCACACAGCATTTGCGGCTGAGGCCTGAGGTATGCATCTGCGGTGTTTTAATCTTGCATCCCTGGCCTACTCCCAATAACTGGAAGAATCACTGCCAGCTGTCACCCCTACAGCAAAGGGCTGAGTCAGCCTGCCCATCATGCTTACCTCTTTCCACAGCTGCAAATCCTGATCTGCCTGTAGGGCTTGGGATGGCATCGGTGCACCTGGAAGCACAAACAGGGCTTGTCAATACCATACAGCAGAGGTCATTTTCATAAGGATTCTATGTCAGTGATTTAGATAATAATTCTGAACATAATACAATACCCTGCAAGTCTCAAGCACCTTTATTGTTGACTGTACAGTGAGCTTAATGCTCTGAGGGCATCTCCCACCTCACCCACTCCTAGATTGGTCTGGCACTTTCTGCCCACTCTTCATTTTCACAGCAGCAGCAGGTTCCTTCACAAGGTGGCGGCAGATATGGACACTTTCATCTCTTTGCAATATACAGGGTGGAAATGGCTTCGTTTTCACCAAGAGTCAGCCTAGCATTAGTCTATTCTCAGCAATAAGTAGCAGGCAAGAACATGTGTGCAGCAGCTCTCCAGCTCTAGATCTGCTCAGGAAAAAATATTCCAGCATCTACAGCTATCAAGTCCTCCAGCTTTCTGAGAACTCAGCTCACCTTCAGTTCACTCATCTGACGCTGAGAATCTGGATCCTACTTGTTACTGTGGTATATATTACAATTAAACATGTGCGACGTAACCTATTCAATAATACATGCATTTCAATAATACATGTGACATGAATACGGCATTTCTGAGAAAGAAATAGACAGTATGTATGTAATTGGCTTTGTTTCTTCTATCTGGTGTGTGCTATATGGAAAAGTTCAGCCTCTTAGAAGATTAGATGTATTCTATAATTTCATAAAGTTACGGTGGAAAGCTGAAGCTAAGGCCATGTATAACAGTACAATCTGCCTTTTGCTGGAATATGGAGAATAATAAGTTGTACCGGAGACAGTGCAGCCTCTGTACTGATCTGATCTGGCAGAAGGAGTTGTTAAAAACCACTTGGAGCAAGCTCTGCTGTGTGCCCCTGGGTGCTGTGCTTGGCTGGGGGCAGCTCCTCTTCTCCTTCTCTGCCCACCTGGGATGCAGACCTGGAAGTTACTATATCTGGGTCCCTCCCAGCTTAGCTCCCAAAATATCCAGCTTTCCACATTCTCATTATTTTATCTGATAGTGTATTTCTAGTAATAACGTACTATCAAAATCTCCCTAAATAACAGAAATCAACATCACTAATCTGGAACAGAGCACTCTAGAGATCACACTAGCATATCGGTGTGGGGATATGCTGTTAAGTGGGTTGCTGCTGGGGAAGAGTATTGTTGTAGCTGCAGAGTCCTAGGACTGCAGGAGACCCTAAGAAGTCATTTATCCCCCTGCCTAAAATTGCTGTCCCTGAGCCATGCCTGAGCAATAGTGGTATAGCCTGCTGAAGACCTCAGATGTCCAGTGGTTTTGTAGCCTCCCAGACAGTCTATAATTACCTGTGGTAATTTTTTTTTCCCGAAATGTTGAATGAAATTAACTGAAAAGAGAGATGAAGATAGACCTAGCACATAATGACTAGGTGAGCAAGATATGAATGCCCATCATCCCCATTTGTTTTACAAGTACCACTAATAACAACAGTAGTAATTTTCAGGTGTAAAGCAGTATATTTCAAAATCCCATTTTGGTACTCCAGACTCAGTGTGACTCATTATTCTGGATGCCTGTTCTTCCCACAAAAAAGTGGGGAGGTCTCAACTTCATCCTATGTAGGAAAGGGAAATTTTTCAAATCTCTTAGAAAGTTCCACATTGTAAATGCTTCCCAGTGAAAAATGTGCTTTTTTGATGTTTGTTTTAGTTCAAAGAGAAACTCCAAATAAATTAAAGGTGCTACAATTCTTTTGCTTTGTATCTTATTCTTAATTAATGTATTCAAACTGGAATTGTCTGCCTGATTCCCAAGACTTTCCAGGGGAAGAGAAGAAATCCAACAGCCTGTAAAGCTAAGAGCAGCTTTTTTTTTTTTTTTTTTTTCCCTCCTTGGAGCAAAAACCTTTGAATGGAGCTTCACAAAATCCTTATTTCATTTGCAGTCCCATCTGTTTTGTGCTCAAACTGGGACTACGCATCTTCCAGCACCAAGCAGTGCACTCTTGCAGGCTATAGGGACTTCATTCATTTACATACGTTCATACTAACACACACTGGGAAACAGTAAGTGATCTTGTAAGGTACACAAAATATCCATAGAAAAAAATTGATGCTATTCAGGAAAGCTAATTCTATTCAAAAGGAACATGGAAGAGGAAATCCTCCTACAGAATTGATGCTGTCCACTACATATTTGCTCTCTTCTCCTTCAAGTCTGCCCACTGCTAAAAACTCAGTTTCTTCCACGTCAGCAGAACGCCAGATGCACATTCTCAGTAACTTTTCAACCTGGGACTCGCTTCTTAAATATTCTTCTCCTCTTCCTCCTCTGCTCTCCCTGTATGGGCTCCTGGAAATCTTTTCTATAAGAACAGTGATAAAATACTGTGTGTCCATTGCCCATCCCTTCCCTCCTTTTTCTTCCCTTCCCTCTTTCACAACCTGAGAATTTATTTTGAATAGAATATTCAGCATAGTGTACTTAAATTTCTCTGCTTCTTGATATCAAAAATAAACCAAAATGAAAACTCCTGATGAAAGTAACTCACATACACAATACAAGAAAGCAGACATGCTCACTGCACATGTACTTCTTTTGCAATGATTCTCACAAGTCATATTAAGTATTTAATATACACAGAGTGCAAAAATAGAAAACAAAGTATGTTTTGTCAAAATGTCCATTATCTGTGCTTGTTTCACAAGCACTGCCTGTTGCAAAACCTGTAACTTTCATGTGCAACATGTTATATTTCAAACTAAATTAAGCTAATCAAATTCTGTCTCTAAAGCAAACAATCAAGTTCTATCTTTTTCCACTTAAATAAAACCTATGTGCAAGGCAGCACCCACGAATCCCTAATGTAATAAATATTGTTTCAGGTTGGACTAGATGACTTCCAGAGTCTCTTCCAACCTAAATTCTCCTCTGATTCTGTAAAACATATAGTTCCTCTGTGTTAGCATCTAAATCAAGTAAATTGTGTTTAAAAATGAAATCCATTTTAACACAAGCCACTTCCCCAAGTTGCTGGACTGTAGTTTTGCCAGGACAGAGGAACCCTGCAGGGACACATAAGGACACCCGCCCCCCGCCACAAGCCCTGCTCAGCAGCAGATAAGAAACCCCCTTACCAGGACTCGCTCTGCCTTGGCCCCTGACTGGGGGGCCTTCCTTGGCAAACCCTGCGTGGGCTCCGGGCTGGAGCCTCCTTCCCAAGAGCTGCAAGTTTGGAGCTGAAAGAGCTGCAAGAAGCACGAAGGGACACGGTCTGGCTGCAGCAGCAGCTCCCTGTTGGGTGTCAGAGCCCTGGACGCTGTTCCCGTGTTCCTGCTCAGGGGTAGCCAGGGCCCCGACACCCCCGTGGGCACCCACCCAGCCTGTGAGGTCCTGCGCGTCTCTTTGTATCTCTCACAAACTGGTATCTAATCCCACCCCAGCACTGCAGCGAGGCAGCGGCTTGCACGCAGCCGGCAGCTCCTTCGGCAGGAATTTCGCAGCCCCCTTGCAAGGCTGGCATGCTGCCGGAGGTTCACCTCCCCCATTACCCCCCTCCCCCCAAATGCAGAGGAGGCAGTGGAAGAAGGGGTTGAGGGAGGATGCTCCTAACCTTTGCAAGCACCCAGCCAGGAGGCGAGGAGGAGCAGCAGCAGCAGCAGCAGCGGGGACCCTGGCGCGGTGCTGCCGTCCCCTGCCTTCCTCCGGCTGCGCAGGGGAGCGGCTGCGAGAGGCTGCTGGTGGCAGAAGTTTCCGATGACCATGGTGTCTCCTGCTCTGCCTCCCTGCCAGCCTTCAGTCTGGGCATGCCTCTCTCTCTTCCCAAACTTTTTAAATCTCCCCGACACGTGGATTAGCATCAGCTTGACTCACCAAGGACACGTCAGACTCCCTACCACCCGCCATGCCCACCCCTGCCTCTTTTCCCATCACCCACCCCAGGGCCAGACCCTGTCATCGCTGCCTGGTAGCTGGTGACTCAGCCCCTCTCCCACCTCTGGGGGCAGCTCCCCTTGTGACTCGCCGTGCCAGTGCCCCTGCTTGGCATCAAGCTGAGGGGACAGGCAGGCTCTAGGCCCCTTCCTATTCAATCTCCTCTTTCAGAAAAATTCCTGCTTAAAAATCGCAGGTACAACACACCAAGCTGTGTTAGCAGCCTCCTGACAGTGAGCACACCAGGTGCTGCTTCTCCGCTACTCACTTGGGTCATTCACAGTAATGACACGGGGGTGGCAAAGGTGAGTTTTTCAGACACTGTCCAATCCCAGCCTGGAGAGGAGAAGAGGCATGAATTAAACCTGGGCGGTCACACACACAGATTTGCCCCAGCCTAACCAAAGCCAGGAGATAAAACTCTCAGAGCTCGCACGCGGGAGAGGACCTCAGCAGCTGGGGCCAGGCGCTCTGCGAACACCCACTGCCTGCCTGGGAGCCGCCGCTCCCTCCGTTCCCTACAGGCACCCACCACTGCGGAGGCGTCACTGACCCCTGACTTCCCCTACCCTCTGCAGCACAGAGAGTTAGGAAACCACTCCACTGCGCAGCTAAGGAAAGTGCCATAAAGGCATAGGCTGCTGGGCCCCTGGGCACACCAACACCCCAGTCGGCTCTGGCTGCCTCTACCCAAGGCCAGCTGGGACAGCAGCGCAGTTTGGACCCTGGATCAGAGACCTGTGTATTTCAGCTCTCTGAAGAGCAGCGAGAAGTGCAGGCTCCTCCGTTCTGCTCGGGAGTTGCATTTAAACTGGGCCTCTTGCCCTTAGTCTTTGCCCGAGCTCTGTTGCAGCCATGCCCCTGCCCTGCTCATGCGCCCCATGATCCAAACCTTGACCCACAGACTGACTTCCCAGCTTGCCCGCAGACCTGCTCCATCACCAGGGACTTGTCTGACGGTCTGGGCTCTTGCCTGAACTTGGCCACTGTCACCAGACCTGCCCCCTCACCCTGCACCTCACTGGTGCATTTCATCCCCAACAGGGAGTTGTCTGAACAGAAACCAGCTTCGTAACTTGAATGTGAGTGACTACTAGGACAGCAATCCCATACACATACAACAACACATCACGAAACAGTACATAGCAATATGGTGATATCTGGGAGTTAAAATCCTAACACAGTGCTTAGCAAGGCATTTTACTTAGGCTACAGCTGCAAACCTTGTTCCCAGGCGTTATTTACTATGCCTTGTCAGATCATAGATAGCCAAGATAACTCCATTATAAGATATTCAAATGCAACACCAGATCCCAAATCCGTAGAGACCTATGGGCAGCATAGGCCAGCCAGCACTGACGCACAGCAAGTCCCCACTTACCAGAGCTGCTACCCCAGTGCACAGGTGCCTCTGCTGCCTGAGCCACGAGACTGTGCCGCTGCCAGTAGGACACCAGGGCTGGTGCTGGCCTGCCCCTCACGCCAAACCAAGCAGCGGAGTCCAGCCTCCCGCAGGCGTGCTTCGCAGGCGGTCCCTGCTCCCTCAGCCCTGGCCTCAGGAAGATCCTGCACTGCTGAGGTGCAGCTCTGATGCTGAGACGCTGCAGAGAGTATTTCACGGCAGGATCTCACAGTTTACAGTTTAGCCTCACGATTTATTTCTCATTTTTTTCCATTCTCTCCCATCGCTTACGTGGTTGTTTTATTTTTCTGTCTTTAAAAGGAAATAGACCTAATGCTCCAGCAATGAGACAATGGTATTTTAGAGACTGTTCTCTTCAAAAATCAATGTGCAGTTTTTGGACATTTCAGTGAATTTTCGCTGGGGGCAAATGGTGGGTGATGGTGTAAAGCTGCCTGACAAGAACAGCAGGTGTCACTGAGAAGCAAAAGACAACTTTGATTTGTCACAATTGCATTTATATCCACTCTTTGCCCTTGCACCAATCAGTCATATGTTCTACAATTTGTACTCTGCCACCATGAATACTCCTGACAGGCCATCAAAACTTTGAAAAGTTTGCCAAGCAGGGTACTAAGAAACTACATAATTCTCTTAGAGAAGAAAGATCCTTCTATCAGATTCAGTAATGAAGCATTCCTTAATAAGATAGGGAAAAGAATGTGTTGATGGATAACTGGCAAGTTATCAGAGCAGTACAGAAATTAAACAAGCCTGTATTTTGTATGTATTACTGTATTTATATCTACCTAATTTAAAAGAATTGTTTTAAGCCAATCCAAATCAAGGAACTGCATTTGGTTCTGCATTCTGCTAATAAAAACAGAAGACATTTACTTAAAGGACATTATCCTAAATCCTATCCTATCCTATTATCCTAAATCCTATCCTATTCATCAGCCCTGAAGAATATCTCCCTGATCTTCTATCTTGGTTCAAATGCATTAATCTGTGTCCTGAGCACAGGCCTAAAGAAGGATTTAATTTGTTATATATTTTGTTAACTAATGGTTTTTTTATTAAATATTTAATAAATATAACAAATTATAGTATTTTATAAAGTTGAAAGTTGCATACCTGTAAACATTCCATTAAGTGGTGCACAAAATATTTTAAGAAGAGTGAAAAAATGATACTTCTTGAAATAAATTTATTTTCACAGAATCACAGAATGGTCGAGGTTGGAAGGGACCTCTGGAGATCATCTAGTCCAACCGCCCTGCTCAAGCAGGGGTCATCTAGAGCACATTGCCCAGGATCACGTCCAGGCGGGTTCTGAATATCTCCGGGGAAGGAGGCTCCACAGCCTCTCTGGGAAACCTCTGCCAGTGCTCTGTCATCCTCACAGCAAAGAAGTTTTTCCTCAGATTTAGATAGAACTGCCTGTGTTTCAGTTTGTGCCTGTTGCCTCTCGTCCGGTCGCTGGGCACCAGTGAGAAGAGCCTGGCCCCGTCCTCTTGACACCTCCCCTTCAGATATTTATACATATTGATAAGATCCCCTCTCAGTCCTTCTCTTCTCCAGACTGAACAGGCCCAGCTCTCGCAGCCTTTCTGCATAGGAGAGGTGCTCCAGTCCCCTCATCATCTTTGTAGCCCTCCGCTGGACTCTCTCCAGGAGTGCCCTGTCTCCCTTGTACTGGGGAGCCCAGAACTGGACACAGCACTCCAGATGTGGCCTCCCCAGGGCTGAGTAGAGGGGCAGGATCACCTCCCTCGACCTGCTGGCAACACTCTGCCTAATGCACCCCAGGAGACCACTGGCCCTCCTGGCCACAAGGGCACACTGCTGGCTCATGGTCAACTTGTCGTCCACCAGCACTCCCAGGTCCTTCTCTGCAGAGCTGCTTTCCAGCAGGCCAGCCCCCAGCCTGTCCTGGTGCATGGGGTTATTCGTCCCTAGATGCAGGACCCTGCACTTGCCCTTGTTGAACTTCAGGAGGTTCCTCTCCGCCCAGCTCTCCAGCCTGTCCAGGTGCCTCTGAATGGCAGCACAGCCCTCTGGGGTATCAGTCACTCCCCCCAGTTTAGTATCATCAGCAAACTTGCTGAGGGTGCACTCTGTGCCTTCCTCCAGGTCACTGATGAATACATTGAACAAGACTGGACTCAGTACTGACCCCGGGGGACAATGCTAGTTACCACTGAAAGAGCTCTGATTAGCCCCAAACTGCATTTGTGATATCTGTTTTAAACTGTAGTCTGAAAAGTTTTGCTCAATCCACTTGCATAGAACATATTAAAGGAGATTGAGGATGATGCCAAAAAATTTCCAGTCAGAAAAATTCTGGTCTTCCATTTACTAGAAAAGAAGCATTTAATACTTCTCTCTATGCTTTGAGTTGTATTGCTCCCTAATCTTTCATCTGAAACTCAAATTTTGTTTTCAGCTGATTCCTGTTAACGAGCAAAAGCAGTAATCATTAAACATGCAAACCTATTTGTGCCCTGAATCCTAGTGGACTGGAGTCTTCCAGCACTTCCAACCCAATATGAACTGCATTTTCATTTTAGACTGTGCCTTTGTCCTGATTTTAATTTACCTGACCTCTGACATATGGGTAAAGTAAACAGATTTGGCTATCATCTTCCTAAACATATCCTAGAAGAACAACTTAACTATTAATAAAAATGCATATTTGCAATAAACCTAAACTCAACTTTATACTGATACAAAATTCCTACTGAGATCTATGTGGATTTTGACAGAATAAGTTCTCCAAACTTGGATCTCAGTTTATGTAAGTTTTGATGATGAACTTTACACAAGCAACTCACAGAAATGCAAGTAATAGACCATTTGTGTAAGCAGGAGAAAATACATCTTTCTGTATTGTATCTGTTTTTGTTTTGTTTAATTGCTTGATGAAATTGATGTTACACTATTGCAGGAACAAAGCACATCCTCATTAAAAGAACAGCTTGGAGGATGTTTTGGATGCTGTAATTAGCTTCTTTGAAATATTTATGTTCTTCCTAATGTTGCCTGAATAATGTTAATTATGGCTAGTGGAAAGGAAATCAAACAGCTGAGTATGTAAAACCATCATCCTCTCCATCTTCAGAAAAGTCAAGGTCAGGCAGAACGTCACTGAATCCACTGCCTTTCTGTGCATACGCATACACAGC